CTGCCGGGGAAGAATCCGGGTCGGGTAAAAATAGTGGTATGTCGGCTTATTCAACGTTTTAAGCCATGAAAACATTTCTTTTCACTTCCAAACTAGAAAGAAATCTTAATAAATGGTTTCTATGGAGTTCTTGCATGATGAAGGTTAGTTTTTGACAATTTCTACCATTAAAGGTTCCCCCGTGCCTAGAAACATGATCTATACACGTGGCAATCATTTTTCCCTTCTATTAGCTGCGTTTGGAGCTAGTTTTTGAAGATATAAATTTGTATTTATTGGAGTTTCTTCAAGGTTTACACTTGGTTAACTAAGGTAATCATCTCGGGACTCTTTTATGATTGTTTTTATGAATTTATACGGACGTTTCAACAAGTTGGGGCAATATGGAAAATCTGCCGATTTAAGATTAATTATGAACTATTTATAGGTGCGTACTAGCTGTGTATATATAGTGTTTGTGAAGCTTAGGACATAAGGAACAACTTTCGTGAAGGAACTACGTTCTTTCGAGCGTTCATTGGGAAGGTATGTTAAGGCTATTCCCTTCGTTCGACATGTTTCCTTAGAGCTTGGGAGTGATATAATAGGGTAGTTAATGTTGGTGATCTTGTAGATGTAATTGTGAGTGGTTGGCTGATTGAATGTTAATAAACCCTCATTTTAGGGACTCATAATCTGTTAAGAACGACCCTAAGTTAGGAACGACTTGGAGATTATTCATATATATTGTTTATAGCTAAATTGCTCGCCTTTAGCCTTTTCAATTGTTTGTTGTTGCCCTTGGGGCTATTGTGGTTAGTTGTTGAGTTATGAACTGCCTATGGGGGCTATGATGTTGTCTAATAGGACTATGTTATTGCCAAAGAGGGTTATGTGTTGCCCACGGGGCTATATTGATGCCAAAGAGTGTTATGTGTTGCCTACGGGGCTATTTTGACGCCAAAGAGGGCTATGTGTGGCCTACAGGGCAATGTTGATGCAAAAGATGGCTATGTGCCGCCCACAGAGCTATGATGTTGCCTAAGAGGGATATGCACTGCCTACGGGGAAATAATGTTGCCAAAAAGGGCTATGTGACTTGTTACAAAGACAAGGGGATACCGATAGGGGTATGTATATTGATTTGGCACCTTCTGGGATTATGTGGGCCTAGGTAGATGGTATGTTGTTTGTACCTGCCGAGCTAATGGGGGCTTGGTTAGGTTGTTGTTTGATTATTTTTGTATCTTTAGATTCAGTAGTGGATTAACATGCTTATATAAAGTTGATTTCCTTACCTGATTGCTTTTGGTATATTATGATACTTACTCATTTAGTCTATAGCCTTCCATACTCTGTACATTATTTTGTACTGACGCCCCATTGCCTGGGGAGCGCTGCATTCATGCATGCAGATCCTGACAGACGACCCAGTAGACCTCCTCAGCTGCAGGATTGACTTCTATTCGATTGGCTAGCCCCTTTCCTCCGGAGCTGCCAGAGTTGGGAGGTTTGTTAGCTTTTGTTGTAATCTATCTTTATGGGTAGGCTATGGCCTTGTCCCACCAATCTTTACTACTCTTAGAGGCTTACAGACTAGTGTGTGGGGTGTATAGCTACGTTATGGCCATGCTGGCCTAGTTTGTTGATTTGTTGAAGCTTGTGAGCTGTTTGATGTATTGTCTTAATATATACTTGCTTTCAGTTTTGGTATAGATATCATGGTGGCCTCAACGGCCCAATCAGGACTTCTGTGCTAGTTGGATATTTATTTATATGAATTCTTGGGAGTAGCTGTTTCTTTAATATATCTGTTGACAGGGGCCTTGCCGGCCGAGGGTTTAGTTTTAAGCCGAGATATACTTGTTTGTTTTCTTGATTGTGTGTGGCTACCATGCACTATTAGCAAATGGTTCAGCAGGGTCCGTTCAGGCCTGAGTTTTGGCATTAGGAGCCAGTTGCGCCCCTTGAGTTTGGGGCATGACAGACGGTCCGTAGGAAAGGTTTCGTGGGAAGTGGGTTAAATTTTGGGTTTCTAGTACTTGAATCTACGGTTGACCAGTACGGACCATCGATTCCTTCGGCAGTTTTTAATTAGGGTGTTTTGGTCTTTCCTATCCACCTAACCTCTAAACTATGTCATTTTGAACCTATAACTACCCCTTTAACTGAATTAACCGTTCAAAAATACCTCATTTTATTATATACACTCAAATCCCCAAATTCCCTCCAAGTTCATCCCCTCCAATTCTCTCTCAAGTTCCAAGGTAAATGCTAGGGTTTCAAGCTTTAGGGTGACAATCTCAATCTCTTTCTTAGGCTTTGTTTATCAAGGTTTTTGGGAATCCCAAATGGATCTCTTCCATCCATTAGATAACAAAACAACTTCAATCTCCAATTCAATTAAGGTTTATGTCAATCTCCATGGGTCCTTTTGATTATGATTCAATTGATGTTATTCTATCTTATTATGCATGATTTAACTTAATTACATGATTTTAAATTGTCTTCATATAGACCCATGATTTATGCTTTGATTTTCACCTATGAAGTATGAACTACGATCATGAATTGATAAGGGATTTAATGCATATTTTATGAAAGGAAGAAATTATGATTTAAGGATGCTTTTAACTTAAGTATCAATGGTTTGTAAAAAGTTTTCTAACAATTTGAAAGGAAATCATGATTTTAGATTCTGAGAAAGGTATTATAAAAAAGTTTATGAAATCATGGTTTTCAAAGGAGCTACTCTTTATCATTTATCATTTATCTCAGCTATAGTATATGAGTATTCCCCATCTTTTCATTTTATTTATGATTATAGCTTCCACACAGTTTCTATTATTCAGATTATATTTAGTATGCTCATGATCATGCCAACAGGGTTAGCTTGGGATCACTTGTGGTCCTAGGTCCTAGGTCCCGTGTCCGCATCTCGGGGTAGCTCGGGGAGTGACACATGTCATCATCTGACCCAGCCCAATTACTATCAGAATACACCCTTGCAAGTTGAAGTTTTGCCTTTTCCCGAACCTAATAGCATAGTCCAAAGTTCCCTTGACATACCTTATTATTCTTTTTGCTGCTTTCATGTGCATTTCACTTGCACAATTCAGAAATCTAGACAAGACACTTACTGCTTGCAGAATGTCGGGTCTCGTGGCAGTGAGATACATGAGACATCCAACCATACTTCTATAACTTGCCTCGTCAACCTTGTCACTACTATCATCTTTAATCAACTTTTCTTTTCGATTCATTGGAGTGTTCATAGGTTTGCAATCTTCCATATTGAACTTCTTCATTATCTCCCTTGCATATTTATTTTGACAAATGAACACTTCATTGTGGATTTGACAAATCTACATTCCAAGAAAGTAAGATATTATCCCAAGTCTGTCATTTCGAACACTTTCTTCATCTCTACCTTGAATTGATCTATCATTTCAAGGTTGTTTCCTGTTACAAGAATATCATCAACATAAAGTGATATAACCACAATACCAGAATCTATTTTTTTAACAAATAGAGTTGATTCGCTTAGGTTTTTCTTAAAACCTAAGCCTTGCAAGTGATCATCAATTCGACTGTACCAAGCCCTTGGAGCTTGTTTTAAACAATAAAGGGATTTCTTCAATAGATACACTTTTTCGTCATGTCCCATTACATAAAAACCTTGAGGTTGCTCCATATAATTTTTCTCCCGTAGAAAACCATTTTAAAAAGATGACTTGACATATAATTGAAAGATTCTCCAACCTTTTCGAGCAGCAATAGCTAGTAACAGCCTTATAGTATCAAGCCTAGCAACTGGAGCAAATGTTTCTGAATAATCAACTGCAAAAATTTATGAGTAACCTTTCACAACAAGTCTTTCATTGAGCTTGTTAATAAATCCATCAACATTCAATTTCGTGCGAAAAACCCACTTCACACCAATGATCTTCCTATATTGTGGTTTCTCCACAAGCTGCCAGGGCTCGCTCTTCTCAAACATTGCACGCTCCTCCTCCATTGTAGCTTTCTACTTGGGATATGAAACTACTTCTTCAAATCCAGAAGGCTCTAAAATGGCCACATTACATCTCTGGTATATGTCAAAGAGCGACCTTGTTCCTCTCACAGCTTAATCATTAATGTTCTCATCTGAATCTAGTAGATTTCTTGTGATTTGCTTTTGGTTAACTTCTTCCTAGTCCCATTTCTCATTCTCCACAAAAAATACATATCTGCTTACCATAATTTTTCCTGTATGAGGCTGAAAAATTCTCTAAGCTTTGGAGATTGTACTATAACCAATAAAGACTCCAGATTCAGCTTTCTTATCTAACTTGTCCCTCTTAACCTGTGGAATATGAGATAAGCACAAACAACCGAAGATTATTAAGTTTTGTAAGGACGGCTTGTACCCGTGCCATGCCTCAAAAGATGTCTTTTCGTTCACGACTTTTGTAGGCAACATGTTCAGCAAAAAAAATAGTCTTGTTAGCTGCTTCTGCCCATAACTTTTTTGGTAAGCCCTTCTCATATAATAAGCATCTCGACATCTCCATTATCGATCAGTTCTTCCTTTCACTGACACCATTATACTACGGAGTATATGGAACAGTGAGTTGATGCTCAATTCCTGAATTTTCACAAAACTTTTCAAATCAATCAGATATGTACTCGGTACCATTATTTGATCTAACCATTTGAATCCTGCAACCACTTTGATTTTCTACCAAAGCTTTGAATTACCAGAACACTTTAGGTACTTCAAATTTGAACCTGAGAAAATAAATCCAACACATCCGTGTCATATCATCAATGAAGGCTATAAAATATTTACTTTTGTTAAGAGAAGCAGTCCTATATGGTCCACACAAATTAGTATGGACTAATTGAAGCTTCACTGATGCTCTCCAGGTTGCCTTTACAAAAGTCATCCTACTTTGATTTCCCAATTGACAAGTGCTGCAAGTTGCGTGTTCATCCTCCATAAGTGGTAGTCCTCGAACCATATCTTTCTTCAGCATTTACAAGAGTGCCCTATGATGGAAATGTCCAAGTCTCTTGTGCCATATATTTGTTGTCATCTCTTGGTTCAAATAGGCAACCAATTTTTCCTCCATTGGATCAAAGGAAAAGCTATTTCCTCTCATATTAACTTGACAGATTTGTTGGCCCTTTGGATCAAAGATCACACACTTCTTGTCCTCAAACGTAAGCTTAAAACCATTCTGCAAAAGTTTCCCTATGCTCAACAAATTTTGATCAAGTTCAGGAACATAAAGTACATCTGAGATTAACTTTGTACCTGAGTAGCTTTCAAAAGCTACTGTGCCTTTCCCTTTGGCTAGAAGGTAATCTCCATTATCAATTCTGACTTTAGAGATTGCAGATCTGTCTAAGTATCTGAAAATCTCATCATGATGAGTCATATGATTTGTACAACCGCTATCAATTAACCAGCTTTTGCTTGAACTTCTACTTGCAAAACAAGTGGCCATAAACAATTGATCTTCTTCTTGTTCGTCTGCAATTTGAGCTCCATTTAATTGTTGTGGTCCTTTTTCGTTGCAAGTAATCTCATCATGACCAAGTTTATGACACTTTCTGCATCTCATATCAGGTTTTTTCCAGCATTTGAAGTGTGGATGATTCCTCTTCCCACAATGCTGACATGGTGGATATTTTCCACCTTTGTTGTCGTTGCTAGAATTGCTATCAGTTGCAGCAGCATCCGTTGACGTAGCATAGTTCTTTTTGAACTTTTACTTCCTACCTTTGCCTCCAGCATTGAATTAATGCCTTGCTTGCAGAGCTCCTTCAACAGTCGCCTCGTTCCTCACCATTCTTCTTTGTTCCTGATCTTGCAAGGAGTTTAAAAGTTCCACCAAAGTAATATTTGACAGATCTTTTGTATTTTCCAGTGAAGCAATTGTTGCTTCAAACTTTTCAGGTAAATTAACAACGATTTTCTGCACAATCCTTGTATCAGAAAGTTCAGCACCAAGTAACTTTACCTTATTGGCCTCACTAATAAGTTTATCTGAGTACTCTTTAATTGTCTCAGATTCCTTAATTTTTTGAATTTCAAATTCCCTCACCAGGTTTAAGACCTTTATTCCTCGAATTCTTTCATCTCCATAATATTCCTTTTTATGAAAGTCCCATATTTGCTTAGCCGATTTAAGTGTCATGATTCTGGAAAAAATAGTAGGAGATATTGCGGCATAGAGACAGCCTTCTGTCACGTCCCGCCACATCATAGTGAAATTTTGCGTCCGGATAGGGGCGGAAGGGTCTAGAGTTGTGGAGAGGTTTCCGGAAGACTCTAGAACCCTTTAGATTATTCAAGAAGGCTAGAGAATTCCATAGAATTCTCTAGAATAACTTAGATATTTTCAAGAAAGGCTTAGAATTCTCTAGAGTGTGTAGAGAATTCTAGAGAGGGGGCCTTTGTGTAAATAATTTAGGGACTTGTAAGTAATTTTAAATTGCACTTTAGTCCCTAGGAGTTAGTATAAATAGAGGGTGCCATTCATTTGCAAGGCATCCAACCAAGAAAGCAAGCAAGCAAAGTTGTTAAGCAATCTTCCAAAGCCAATACAAAAGCCTTCTTCCAAAAAGCTCTCTTTGATCTTTCTAAGTCTTTCTTAAGCATTCTTTTAGCGATCTTAGTCTTAAAGGCTTACTTGAGCTTACGAGATCTTGAAAGAATAGTGAGTAAGTTGTCAAGTGCTGCACGGTGTCTTAGAAAATACTCTAAGTCCATGACACTTCGCCTTCGACTTCCTGGTTTTCTTCTCTTTGTGAGTTTTAATCTAAGCCATTGTAGGATTGCCTGGTAAAGGAGGAACTTCATAATCCTCCTCTACTGCCTCCCAGGGAGCACATGCATCCATGTAGGCTTCCATCCTAACAGCCCAAACCTGATAGTTTTCTCCATCAAAAGATCACGAAGTGCTAAAAGACTGTGCTACCATTGTGAAACCTTACTTTGCAGAAGCCCTAAAGTCAATGAGCTTAAATTCAGGTGACTATGCTGGAATGGTTGCCTTATTATGCAATGAAATGCCAAAAGGAAAAGAAATGGTATGAGGTATTCATAACTATCTTATCTACAACTAAAATAATGCCCGCTTGCTTTTCTAAAGAAATATTTATTGATATGATGCTTTGTTTAATGTTGATACTTCACTTTCATTGTCTATATATCCAAGCATTCATTTACACATATAAGTGGGCATACATCATGATTAAAAATGTCGGCTTTTCCTTCTTTCTTGTGAGCAATAGTAGACTAGATACTCAGTAACTTCATATTGTTGATAAAATTAGCACCTCTGTCTCATTACTGCAGTTTTTCTCCATTTAAATGACAACCACATCCTTAGATCATTATGCCTTAGAATAAGATTGTTATCGGTCATAGTCTTAAACCTAGTACAATACATTATAATTAGCAGCGGGAAGCTTGTCACTGACAAATTGCTGAAAATGGTATCGTTGTATGCAGTTATATTTTGAAAAATAAATGACATAATAAAGAAAGATATCAAACTTCAGAGCCAACTCCATCCCTGTTTGGGCTCCTGATCCAAGCTCCAGTTGGGCGTGAATGGAGTGGTGTGCTTATATGAACTTGGCTATCCTGCCTTTCATAAGCTAGCTTTTGGGGTTTAATTAGACCCAAGTGTCATATCTTTACAGAAACATACAGTTTTAAAAGAATTTTTCTCTTTGTAGAAACATACAATTTTTAAAGAACTTTTCCTTAATGTAAACATACATCACTCAAAGGATGTGGTTGGCATTTATACGGAGCAAAACAGCAGTAATGAGACAGAGGTGCTAATTTTATCAACAATATGAAGTTGCTGAGTATCTAGTCTACCATTGCCCACAAGAAAGAAGGAAACGCTGACATTTTTAATCATGATGTATGCCCACTTATATGTGTAAATGAATGCTTGGATGTATAGACAATGAAAGTGAAGTATCAACATTAAACAAAGCTTCATATCAATAAACATTTCTTTAGAAAAGCAAGCAACCATTGTTTTAGTTATAGACAAGATAGTTATGAATAAATCATACCATTTCATTTCCTTTTGGCATTTCATTGCATAATAAGGCAACCGTTCCAGCATACTCACTAGAATTTAAGCTCATTGACTTTAGGGCTTCTGCAAAGTAAGGCTTCACAATGGCAGCACAATCTTTTAGGACAAAACTATCAGGTTTGGGCTGTTAGGATGGAAGCCTACATGGATGCATGTGCTCCCTAGGAGGCAGTAGAGGAGGATTATGAAGTTCCTCCTTTACAAGGAAATCCTACAATGGCTCAGATTAAAACTCACAAAGAGAAGAAAACCAGGAAGTCGAAGGAGAAGGAATGTCTCTATGCCGCAGTATCTCCTACTATTTTTTCCAGAATCATGACACTTAAATCGGCTAAGCAAATATGGGACTTTCATAAAAAGGAATATTATGGAGATGAAAGAATTCGAGGAATAAAGGTCTTAAACCTGGTGAGGGAATTTGAAATTCAAAAAATTAAGGAATCTGAGACAATTAAAGAGTACTCAGATAAACTTATTAGTGAGGCCAATAAGGTAAAGTTACTTGGTGCTGAACTTTCTGATACAAGGATTGTGCAGAAAATCCTTGTTACTTTTCCTGAAAAGTTTGAAGCAACAATTGTTTCATTGGAAAATACAAAAGATTTGTCAAATATTACTTTGGCGAAACTTTTTAAATCTTTGCAAGCTCACGAACAAAGAAGAATGATGAAGAACGAGGGGAATGTTGAAGGAGCTCTGCAAGCAAGGCATCAATTCAATGCTGGAGGCAAAGGTAGGAAGCAGAAGTTGAAGAAGAGCAATGCTACGTCAACATAAGCTACTGCAACTGATAGCAATTCTAGCAATGACAACAAAGGTGGGAAATGTCCACCATGCCAGCATTATAGGAAGAGGAATCATCCACACTTCAAATGTTGGAAAAAACCTGATATGAGATGCAGAAAGTGTCATAAACTTGGTCATGCTGAGATTATTTGCAAAGAAAAAAGACCACAACAATTAAATGGAGCTTAAACTGCAGACAAACAAGAAGAATGTCAATTGTTTGTGGCCACTTGTTTTGCAAGTAGAAGTTCAAGCGAAAGCTGGTTAATTGATAGTGGTTGTACAAATCATATGACACACGATGAGGAGATTTTCAGAGACTTAGACAGATCTGCAATCTCTAAAGTCAGAATTGATAATGGAGATTACCTTCCAGCCAAAGGGAAAGGCACAGTAGCTATTAAAAGCTGCTCAGGTACAAAGTTAATCTCAGATGTACTTTATGTTCTTGAACTTGATCAAAATTTGTTGAGCGTAGGGCAACTTTTGGAGAATTGTTTTAAGCTTACATTTGAGGACAAGAAGTGTGTGATATTTGATCCAAAGGGCCAAAAAATCTATCAAGTTGAAATGAGAGGAAAGAGCTTTTCCTTTGATTCAATGGAGGAAAAATTGGTTGCCTATCCGAGCCAACAGATGACAAGAAATATATGGCACAAGAGACTCGGACATTTCCATCACAGGGCGCTCTTGTAAATGCTGAAGAAAGATATGGTTCGAGGACTACCACTTATGGAGGATGAACACGCTACTTGCAGCACATGTCAATTGGGAAAGCAAAGTAGGATGCCTTTTGCCAAAGCAACCTGGAGAGCATCAGTGAAGCTTCAATTAGTCCATACTAATTTTTGTGGACCACATAGGACTGCTCTCTTAACAGAAGTAAATATTTTATAGCATTCATAGATGATATGACACGATTGTGTTGGATTTATTTTCTCAAGTTCAAATCTGAAGTATCTGAAGTGTTCTCGAAATTCAAAGCTTTGGTAGAAAATTAAAGTGGTTGCAGGATTCAAATGCTTAGATCAGGTAATGGTACCGAGTACACAACTGATCGATTTGAAAAGTTTTGTGAAAATGTAGGAATTGAGCATCAACTCACTGTTCCATATACTCCACAGCAAAATGGTGTCAGTGAAAGGAAGAACACATCGATAATGGAGATGTTGAGATGCTTATTATATGAGAAGGGCCTGGGCAGAAGCAGCTAACACTGCTATTTTTTTGCTGAGCAGGTTTCTTACAAAAGCCGTGAAGGAAAAGACACCTTTTGAGGCATGGCACGGGTATAAGCCGTCCTTACAAAACTTAATAATCTTTGGTTGTTTGTGTTTCTCTCATATTCCACGGGTTAAGAGGGACAAGTTAGATAAGAGAGCTGAATTTGGAGTCTTTATTGGTTATAGTACAATCTCCAAAGCTTACAAAAATTTTCAGCCTCATACAGGAAAAATTATGGTAAGCAGAGATGTATTTTTTTTTATAGAGAATGAGCAATGGGGACTGGGAAGAAGTTAACCAGAAGCACAAGAAATCTACTAGATTCAGATGAGAATATTGATGATCAACCTGTGAGAGGAACAAGGTCACTCTCTGACATATACCGAAGATGCAATGTGGCCATTTTAGAGCCTTCTGGATTTGAAGAAGCAGTTTCAATTGTGCAAGTGTCTTGTCTAGATTTCTGAATTGTGCAAGTGAAATGCACATGAAAGCAGAAAAAAAAAGTAATAAGGTATGTCAAGGGAACTTTGGACTATGGTGTTAGGTTCAGGAAAAGTCAGAACTTCAAATTGCAAGGGTATTCTGACAATGATTAGGCTGGGTCAGATGATAACATTAAAGGCACTTCAGTTTATTGTTTTAGCCTTGGTTTGGGATGTTTTTCATGGTGCTCAAAGAAGCATGGTATCGTGGCACAGTCAACTGCAGAAGATGAATTTATAGCTGCAACAGCAGCTGTTAATCAAGCTCTTTGGCTAAGGAAGATTATGTTAGATCTTGATCTAGAGCAACAAGAAAGCACGGAAGTATTTGTGGATAATCAGGCAGCCATAGCAATTTCTCATAATCAAGTTTTTCATTGAAAACAAAACATTTTAATATCAAATTGTACTTTCTCAGGGAAGTACAAGAAGGTGGAGAGGTGAAATTGGTTTATTGCAATTCGGAATATCAAATTACTGATGTATTCACTAAGACTTTTCATGTTAAAAGGTTTGAATTCCTTAGAATGAAGCTTGGACTATGCAGTTCTTGAGCCAGGATGGGTGTTGTTGTTGTCT